TGGGCCATCCTCTGAAGGTAGCCCCGATCACTGGGCACTTCCCGAACCCCTGGCCTCTCCTCCCCACAGCGAGAACGGATCCCCTGCAATCCAGGCACAGCTCCGGTGCGTCGTGCCTCAACCCCTTGGACGGAGCTTCATTTCTCTAACCACATTGAGTAGATTGGACGGCCAGTACCACGGTCAGGAAATGCTTTCGGACGACATGTCTGCTACCGTGATGCCTATGGGTGACGACTTCGCTCTGCCTCCCTCGTACACTGCCCGTCGGCCTGTCAATGAGGGCGAATCTGCTCGTGATCACCCTCTCTACAAGAATGCGTCCCCCGGACCTGATGGCCTCTTCCACTGCCCTTGGGAAGGACAAGCCAGCTGCAACCACAAGGCCGAGAAGCTTAAGTGCAACTACGAGTAAGTCCGCCTAGGATCAGCAACGCAACACTCGAGTGACTGCTAATCATGCGCTTTCTTCCAACAGCAAGTTTGTGGACTCTCATCTCAAGCCCTACCGGTGCAAGGACACCTCTTGCGAGAACGCCCGTTTCTCGTCAACTGCCTGTCTTCTTCGCCACGAGCGTGAGGCCCACGCTATGCACGGACACGGGGACAAGCCCTTCCTTTGCTCGTACGACGGATGCGATCGTGCTCTTCCCGGTAACGGATTCCCCCGCCAGTGGAACCTCCGGGATCACATGCGCCGTGTACACAACGACAGCAGAATTCCGGGGTCGCCTACCAGTTCGACCACGGGCCACACCCAGCAGGCTGCTAAGAGTCGTAAGCGCAAGGACGCTCCCAAGGTCATTCCGGCTGTCAGCCGTAAGACCAGCGCCAAGGCCAGTGTTGTGGTCGCCGCTGCCCAGGAACAGGAAGCTCCTAGGCCACTCCTCGAGGAATGGATTGCCCAGCAAAAGGCCCTTGAAAGCATTGTTCAGGGGCTTGCCCAGCCAGATAACGCTGCCATTGCGCACCTTATCAAGGATGCCCAGGGTCGCCTGAACACCATGGGAAAGATGGCTTCTACCCTGAGCCAGGGGCAGACTGTGCAAACTGTCCGCAGGACTTACAACAACACTGGATGAACGCTGCCAGGTTCGTAGCAAAGCCACACTTGTTAACATGAGCCGTTATCTAACATCTCTGTGCATTACAGAATTTGTGCCAATTATTTGCACCCAGATGAAAATTTAATGGAGGGGTCCGACGCAAGTGCGTGGACCTTGCCTTGCCCAACTCTGTCGACGACGAGTAGACGACGCACCTCGCGGCCCTGCACGTCGTCGACAAGATGCGGCGACCTGCGTTGTGGCAAACGCTGCAAGGCCGGAAGCTGCAGACCGGACGCAAAGCCAGGTCATTGGAACAAAAATGTCCCAGTGATTTGCATGCATCGTGCGACTCCCGGTCAAGTAGCCGCACCGCCGCAACCGAGACGATGCTTCAGGTCATGAGATACCCAAGCCACGCCCAGGAGGGTGTTGGAAAATCATGTAGAGCCAAGAGCTCAGCAGGACCGGTGTTGTGTCTGTAGAAGAGATTTGTGAGGATTCCCGCGAACGACTCCAGGACAAGATCTTGTGAGCCAGGGAGAGTGTGTTGAAAAGAACTAGATGTATCCAGAGTATGAGATCGCCTGAAGGGCACCACAGAAGGACCAAATACACGGCTCGTAGTAAAAACATGCAACCCCTCCTATCACATCGTGACACTGTCTGCTGTTCATGCTGTTGAAGCTTGAAATGTGTGAACTGTCTTTCCCAAATGGACCCGGCATCCCCGAGGTTGTCATTCAACGGAGCCGTGGCAGCTCAAAGACCTTTTGTTTGACGACCACGATACAATTTATGCACCATCCACTCACTGCTGCGAAGCCGATCCTCAAAGAGTAAAATGGGGAGTGGCCATTCTGTACTCGAATGTAGGGACTGGGGGACCATCGGCCTCCGGCAACACAAGAGCAGCCTGGACAAACAAGTTGCGAAACGTTTTTTCCTTCGCACAAATAGAAATGACAAGAACATCAATGAAGACGCAGACGGCGAAACGGGACACGGGAAAAGATAAAAGGAGAGATTCTTGAGATATACACTAATACACGGTCTGCTGGCTTACACGAACGACCGCTCCTCGGTCAGGTTCCGTGTCGCGGTGTCGCTGCCTCGACTGCTTGTCCGTTCGTACGAGGGCCGAGACTGGGTCCTCTCTGTGTTCTCAAAGTCAAAGTCGATGGGGATGGAGTAGACGGACTCCTTGATGCGCGGCAGCGGCTTGTTGACGTCGTAAAAGACGAGGTGCTGGGGCTCGGAGAAGTCGGGGGTGCGGACGGGCCGGTTGAAGACGACTTCCTCTTCGAGCTCGTGGATCGTCGAGAGGGAGTCGCGCTTGGGGCGGTCTTTTTCCTCGCGGGGCGGCTTGATGGACGCCTTGCCGACGGAGCGGGCGCGAGATGCCGAGGCCGTGCTGATGAGCTGAGGCAGGTAGCGAGCGAAGAAGGGCTTGGTGGCCGGCACGCTGGCGGCCATGATGCCGACGAAGAGCTCGATGGACGACATGAGCCAGGTTAGCCAGGCGTGCCAGGAGAGGTCGCGGTCGCGGCTGCTCGTCATGAGGTGGGTGAAGTAGACGCGGGCGGCGCTGGCGGCGCAGGCCACGAACCCGGCGGCGAACAGGATCGAGACAATGGTCACCTGGCGGGGGCAGAGCTTGCCCTCTTGACGGAGGCGGCGGACGATGGCCAAAGGGAGGATGACGACTAGCAAGTTGGTCGAGGTGTTGATGATGCCGCCAGCAAGGAGGTGTGTCGCCTCGTCGACGGTGCAGTTGACGGGTTCGAGTGACAGTCTCCAGTAATGATACAAAGGCCTGGGAGTACTTTTCAGCTTTTCATGTCTTTCAGTCGGAACCAAGGGGAGTCCAGAGGGGCGTCTCCTCACTTACCGGCATTGCAGAAGGCTAACGAGGAGAAAAGAGGTGCCGTTGGCGCTGATAAGAACCATTGAGACAATGACAATGTAGCGAACCGTCTTTGACGTCTGGCAGGCGAGTCGATAGATCAGAGCCAGCATGGACAACTTGGTGAAGCTCGTGGCGAGGTCGAACATGACAAAGCTGGAGAGAGCGAGCTTCAGGCTCCCGGGGAACAACCTAGGCCGCACATCCCACACGTGGGTACCCCAGCCATAGTGTGCTGATGCGACGAGGCCGATCACGGTAAAGGCTGCTGTGGCGACGTAGGCAAAGAGAATCAGGATGTCGTCCCAGCCGAATCCCTTTGTGATGACCTTGCGAGTGTAGACGCGGATGGCGACGAGGAATGTGACGACGATGAGCAGGGTAATGGCGACAATGGCAGCTGCAGGCCCCCTGGTCTCCGGATTGACATAGTTGGGGACCGGCCAGCTCGTAATGATGTCTAGCGGCGGGGTCTTCATCCTCTGTTCATATCAAGCACTCCGTGTCGACGCCAAACCCCCAATGTCTATAGACTGAAAAGAAGGACAGCCAGTGCCAGACTGGGAACGAGAAGGAGACGACGTAATATATTACAAGGCAAAAGGGGATAAGATGGCCGTGCCCGCACGCAGGATCAGAAAGGGAGAGAGTCCAGGAGCCAGAGCGACCTGCATTGACAGGCACCCGATGTCTAAGTCGGGTCTACTTAACAGAAGATGAGCGACACGAGCAAGGGCTCAGACCAAAAGAGGCCAATGAGACGGGAATTAGCTTGTGGGGGATCAGCACCAGGGAACATGGATGCCGTGCGTTGCGGTCTCGTGCTGTGTCGTCGAGACGTTGCCGCGCCGCACTGACAGCAGTGAGCCATGTCTGTGGGTAGCACGATATCGTGGCTGCGCTGGCTAGTGTGTCTCTGAGACTCGGGAAGGGGGTTTGGGCGGCGGGTAATTATCCATCATCACAGAAAAAACTTGGATCATCTAGTCCAACTGTAGAGGTACATCAACCAGGCTCTGTGTAGAACAACCGCCGTTGTCCAGCGCCGGGTAGTTTCCATCGAGAGACTGGTCGTTATCCTCTGAGTGATAGTGAATGGTCCAGGAAGAATGCGAAAGTCGGCTTGGCTTCTAGTCTCAGAACGTCAAAAGGTTCTAGTCGCGTCTGCTAGGCCAAGTCTGACTGGGGGCGACAAGCCATTCCTGGTAGAGGATGCGCGTGCGGGCCGTACGTAGATCCCAAACACTTATTTGCCCGATGGAGCAAGGCCGAGAGAGATACGAAAACATGGCCAAAGGTGACTCGGCACTTCAGCTGCAAAGAAGGGGGAGCACCTGACAGTGGATTGATTCGCCGAGAACCGCACAGACATCGGTTTGCGCTGCATCGAAGCGCCAAGACTGACTGGCCTCGGTGGACTGGGGATGAGTGAACTCGTGGCTGTGATTACAATTCCGAGTGGGCCCTCCATTGGAAACAGTAGACGTCAGAGCACACGACGTGACACTCAACCCTACCTGGGACTTTGGACTCGGATGTTGGCTCTTCCTGAGATGGTGGCGGATATCTGACGAACAGGGAGACTGGAGTTTGCGTCGAGATGGGCATCGCGTGGGACGACGAAATCCGATGTGAGACGAACAAATCAAGGAAGATAGTTCACGAATCCGGTAGCAAAAGCGAATACTGTGATAGATTCGAGGCAAAAATGGATGTCCCATGGATAACCACTTCTCGTGCGAGCAGGTTTCCATTTGTGACGGTCCCATCCGAGTTCCTGTACCGAGCATATCGCGCACTCACCATGCCCGTAGCCTCATCCTTGAAGCTCCAGCAGTATTGACAGTTGAACATGGCAGACTGCACGAGCCTGTCATGGTCATATCATAGCCACCATTCTTCCAGCGGAGAAACTCGCCATGTACTTCTCACGCCGTAGGAAACATGCGAACACATCATCGTCAATGAAATCGTCAGACATCCGAGGCATCCATCTTGCGTTGAATCACACGATATAGCGTGACACTATTCATCTCCAGAATGCTCCAGAACGGGACGTTGTTGAATTGGTTTATCGCTCAACTGACGTGAGGTGTGTTGAAGCAGGCAATGTCTGGGGTGGCAAACGTTGCCTAAACTCCGTTGCAGTGATAGAATGACAGACAGTGACACTCGAAGATTCGACTTGAGGCCCGACAAGTAATCACTACTGAGAATCGACGCTCCTTTGGACTGGACTACCTGCAACGATGAGCAGCGGGTTAGCACATCATTTGACTCCCTCTTTGCCCCACAATGTTGTCGAAAAGGCTGTCAGGCTCAAAACAACACAGATGGACTAGATTGAGCTTTGTACGGTTAAAAGAAGGCAATTTCCAGAGTCTAGCTTCAATAGCAACTCCTACTTCGATCCACCAGTCAACCAGGACAAGCCCGGGACCTGGAAGGAGGCAGCAGGCGGGTAGTCCTTTTCGCCGACCTTGACGCGCGGGGTGCAGGTGCACCACTCATCCTCGGAGATGCCATCCATAGCGGAGGCAATGTGTTTTCCGCATCCGCGCCATGTTCGCTTCGCTGTGCGACCAGCGGGTCAGTATGGCAAACGTGACGCGGCTGGATAGAAGACTTACAACAGGTTCCGCAAGTGGCTCCCATACACATGATGAAGACGAAAATGAGTGGAGGGTTGTGGGCGGAGTCGGGGTGCGGGGTTTCAGCTTTTGCAGCTTTGGCTTGTGTTGATGTTGGAAGCTGCCTGATGCAGACAGCAAGGAATTCGGGACCTGAAGCGAAGGGACTCTGGGGGGACGGTTTCGTTTTATGTTCTTAAAGATAAACTAGGGATACGCCGGCATCGAAGATCTACCGCGAGTCGGCGACCACATGACAGACGGGCTTCAACCCCCGCCGAGCGCTCCGGTATCGCCGACCTCCAAGGGTGGGGCCGACAGAATCCGGTGAATGAAGTTGATACTGGGCTCCTGCACGGCCATCTTTGGCCTAGATGTCCTTTAGGAACTGTACCACACGATCGTTGAGCCAGGCCTGTCCATCTGGCTGCTTGACGGTATGGCCTGCTCCGGGAATCAGCCCTGAGAGGGGGTGGACATTCTTGCCTAGCTTCTTCCACAAGTCGACAAGAGCCTGCTTATCGACATGAGCGGGGACGTGCTCGTCTTCGGCCGAGTACAGAGCCATCGCCGGCTTCTGGAACCGGTTCCATATTCTGGAAACCGTTTCCTCGTCAAGGTCAGACGAGAAAAAGTCGTCGTCGCCGCCCTTGGAAATGAGCGAGTGCCAACGGTAGGCCGTGATGGGCTCAAAAGTATGAGCCACCTGTTCAGGTCGTAGCATCTCATCTCCTCGTCCCTCGGCGATCATACTGGCGGCAAGCTCGACGCTTTCCCTGAGCTTCTCAGCGTCAACGTGGATGGCAGCGGCCTCGCGGTCTGACACGGGGCCCTGCAAGATGAAGCCATCGACGGGATCGTCCTCATTCGCGGCGTACTCGACACAATCCTGCCATGGTCAGTCGTGCCAGCTGGTCGCCAAGTGGACAAGAAACACCGACCTGGGATCCCGTCGAGTGGCCCATGAGCACGATTTTCTGCTTGTCGATGCCTCTGAGGTACCTGACGAAGGCCGCAATGTCCTCGACGTCCTTCTTGAGGCTCGAGTAGCCAAAGCCTGTGAAGGAGCTCCTGATGCGGATTTCGAAGACCGAATAGTCCAGTCCCGACTCCTCCAAGTGAGTGGCCAGAGGTCGAACGAATGGAACCGTGTGAGGCCCATCACCCAAGCCGCCGACGAAGATGATGGCCTTGCGGGCCTTTACCGGGCCATACTCGTAGGCGTGGGAGATGTTTCCCGCGGACTCGAAAGGGTGGGCGATGCAAACAAATGGTGTGTCCATCATGTGTGGTATGAGACAAATAAATACAAGAGTCGAGGTCGAAATGGCTCTGGGTTTCACAAAGATTGATTGTCTTCACGAGCAGTGAATCGAGAAGAACAGGTTTGAACAGCGAAGAATGGCCCTCGATCTGATCCATTACCTGATGGAGAGGACTCGTGCCCCTCTTTCCTGCTGCTCTTTCCCGCTGGTCGAAGGTGCTGAGCTACTAATTACTGCCCTCCACTACAGGCTGTTATAGTGCAAGAGCTTCCAGAGCGCTGCCTGCCTGCCCCCCACAGGTACAGTGTCTAACGAGCAAGACACGGTATGCATAATGTGCACAATTCACAACTCGTTCATCAGGACTTGACGTCCCCCTCCACCTTGCTGCATCCCAGTTAGGTAGAGCACCTACTTAGATCTAAACATACCTAGGTCCTATTCACACAATACTCGGCTCTTGCGATCAATACACCAAGAAGCAGCCACAACCCACTGCCCGTCCCATTCGTTACAATCAACATTGCCAATGCTCATGGCTTGAGCCTCAAATGCGTTCGTAGCCGCACCCTCAATGGCCAACGTTTCACCGAACCCTGCCCGCAATGAGTTCTTCCAACAGGTTGGCAACCCCCTCTACTCTCGCGTTCCGCCCGCCCATCTGACCATTCCGCCAGCTCAAACCCTGCTGCGTGTCCATAAGCCGGATAGCGATTGATCCACCAAAGGGAGCCACAGCAATTCGCCAGCTTGTCGACCTGACGGAAGAGCTTCACGGCATTATCAGTACCCAAATCAACCGTGATGCCTCCGTTTTTGACGACAAGCTGGCCGATTATATCTTCTTTCCCCTGTCCCACGTTTTCAGAAACCAGGAGGGCTATCCTGCCCGTCTCTTGGAGGCTGCCCTCAGGTGTCTTACCGCCATCACTGTTCACGGCTGGAAGGGCAGCATCTCCCCCCAGATCGTCGAGCAGCTTCTCATCCTGCTGACTTTTATTGTTGGGGGGGCACCTGGACAGAACGACCAGCATAAACCTCCAGAAGAGACGACACTGGAAGCTCTCAGGGCACTGACAGCCTTGATCACGGCGGCAGGCTCTTCTGCCGCAGCCGCCGCGTCCCTCGTCGATGCCAAAACCATCCCGGCACTGGGACATGGCGTCACGGTGGTCATTGACAGTGTAGCCAGCGGAAGAACACCAGAAATCCAGCTGGAATCATTGCGAGCGCTCCAGGCGGTATTCGGTAGCATCAAAGACCACGCCGCGCTGGCCACCCTGTTACCGGGTGTCGTCTCGGCCCTCACCAAGCTCCTGTCCATGCCAGCCCACGAGAAGACGCGGGTACTCGCGGCAGCCATCACGACCTTGAGGCTAGTCCTTGTTGCCGTTCTCGGTGATATGAAAACGAGAGCCATCAGCAGAGAAACTGCCGCAAACTCTGAAGCTGACAACCAGAAAGTGCTGAGTCGGCCATGGCTGAACGCAACCGTTGCTCAAATCAAGCTGGCTCTGGCCTCCGTCGTGAAGCTTCGCAACAGCAAGGCCCATGAGGTCCGTGATGCACTCGCAAACTTGTCCCTGACGCTCCTCGATGAGTGCCACACGACCCTAGAAAACTGCAGTTCCATTCTGGTCGAATCAGCCACCATGTTGGAGCCCGAAGAAGACGCACCATCCACCCTCACCACCAGCCTACAGGACTTGGCGACCATCTATCCTGAACTAGCGGAAGTAATCAAGGTCACAGTATATAACTGGCTGACCGCCCTGCCGCGAATCATGCAGTCGGCCGAAGAAGAGAAGAAGCAGGCCGCGATTCGCAATGTTTTGAAGGGCACCGAGTTGGTGACACGTTTGCAACTGGATTCTTCCACGCTCAGTGACGCCGTGTCTATGGCCCTGCGAGACAGTGTGTCCTCCCTCCTGGCTGGCGACGGCCAGAAGCAGGTGGTTCAGTCTGTGTCGTCGAGTCTCGTCCCACTTTCAGGGAAAGATCTCACCCGGGCCGATAGTACTGCAGCGGACTACAGCCTGATAGTCCTGGGCCATGAGAGTCAGATGACCACAAGATCTGAATTGTTGAGGTTGATCTCCAAAGTCGGATCTGCGTCTCAACAAGTGAAGCTGTCGCTCGATATGCTGGACTACTCGCAAGAACTGACAGACGCATCTCAAGTCTCTTCCCTCTGGCTGTCCTTCGAGCTTGTCAAAGCTGCATTTACTCGAACTTCTGACGTTGATGATTATCTTGACCTGTCATCGGTAACCACAGAGTCGGAAGATCCCGAGACGGCCCTGCGCGAGCTTTATGCCTTCTCTGTGTCACTCATAGACGCTAGCATGGAAAACACAGATGTCGATTGGCGACTTGAGGCCGTGGCTCTTGAGGTAGTGGCCTACGCAGCATCTCGCTCGAGGGAAGCATTCCGACCCGAGCTCATCGATGTCTTGTACCCCATTGCAGCGTTTCTGGGTTCATCAACCCCCCAAATACGAGATCACGCCATGACAACCTTGAACATCATCTCGAGCTCTT